ATGAAGTGGCGTTCAATGCATTGATGGCGGCAGTGAAGAGAACACTTAATCAGCAGGCAATGAATATAAACAGGCAGGGGAACTCCTTGTTTGTAGTGGGGTTCGTGATGAGTGTCACTGGAAGTGTGAGGTTTTGTATTTTTAATGCAGTATTAACAGCATTCAGTGTTTTCAGATGTCATCACATGAATGTGTCTGTTGAGGGGTTCGTGCCCAACAAATGTATTTATGTTCTGTTTTAGAGCAGAGATGGGGAAAGTTTTTCTTCAAGGATGAATTAAACGAAGCGACAGACTAATAACGAGAGATACCCAAGTCGTTTCTCTCGTCTTTCACAAGTCTCTTCCTGGCCGTTCACCCGTGTCTTCACCTCTCATCATTCATCATGCCGTGATCGCGGTTTGTCTGTTCAGCAGGTCGTTTGATTACGAAAACATGCCAATTGTATCCGTTTGTGTGTCCACGGTCCCCTTCAAACGCTGTTTGGACGTGGTCAATCATCGTCGTGTTTCAGCTTGGTCCGAGTTCAGGTCTGTGACTAACAAAAGTGTCTAATCTTTTCTTGTTAAAATGCTTTCCCCTATCTTTATGCACATTCGGAAATCGTTTGTTGGTTGATTTTCCGTGAGAAACGTAAACACTTTGGCCATACATTAGTTTGAACCTGTTTTTGCATGTTTAGTGCTGGTTGGCAATAATGCAGGTCTGGGTGATATGGCAAAAAACAAACAAAACAAAACCCACACAATTTTTCATATCAGTCAATATCGATGATTATCACAAATGTCAAATGTTTATTTCCTTCAAGTTTAAATTAACATTTTTGATCCTAAGTGAAAGTTGTAGAAACTTTATTAATGACTTTATTTATGAATACAATTGTAGCTTTAGTCTACTCTTTATTCATGACAAACACTTCACGGTTTTTAAATTTCTTAATTTTTCCTTAAAGCTACACTGTGTAACTCTTTTAGTTTATTCTTAGCTAAAAACACTTAGTTCTTTCAAAAAAATATATGTGCTCAATAATGTATATTTACTTAGTTCAAGTAATAAAGTATTCTCGTGAGTGTATAATATGCCATTGAAAATACATACGGGTAAGGGGTTCTATTTTAAAGGCCTACTTCCAAAAAAGTGGAATATCCCTTTAAATGATGGTTTTATAAAAGTCTCCTGACTCTATCGTAAAAAGTCTCTGTAAAAGTAATTATCTGTATCTTTAAAAGACTATATCTGTAAAAGTCAGTGTTTCTCCTGTTTGTGAATTCAAGCGTTTCGGTCTTGTTACTGAGATCGATTGGCGAGTAAACGCATCTGCTCAAGTAAGCTCGCTCTGCACTGCCGTTTGAACTTTGAGCCGAGCGGATAAATGGTCAATGTGGCGCGGTTCAACTGATTAGCACTGTGTACATTGTATTAAACTCTTAATATCGTTTTATTGAGGAAAATTATATCGCAATAATTATCATAATGTCACCCAGCCCTATGCTGGAGAGATGGATGAATCCAAGAACGAACTATTCCTTTTTAGATATGAAATAATTCTATGATATATTTTTTTTGTTTTGTTTTTTTTAGATTAATGCACAATTTGAAAGGTTCACTGAAAGTCTTTTGGCTTTAACAGGTTCTTCTAACATTTACCATGTGGCATTGCAGGTCTGTAAGGAATTGTGCCATTTATCAGCTTGGCATGTCATTCCTTTTAATCATTGGTTTAGAGAGACATCTTGGTGCATAATTCATCCATTCATTTCCTTTAAGATGGAATGTCTTTGTCAGCAACTGTTGATTGCTTTACACATTTACGTTCTCCCTGTCATCCGCCGTCGATTTGGCTCGTTGAAGCGTTCTGCCTTTGGCAGGGAGATAGTTGCATAAATTTGACTGAGCTTCTTCCTGACTGAGCCTTATAATGTAATTGATGAAAACTAATAATGAAGTAGATGAAAAACTGCCCGTGACTCATTGGCTGGTGGGACGTGCAGGGTTACGTGAGGCTGCGAGATGTGCGGGACCGACTTCGGTGAGGAGAGGTGAAGTTCTCTCAGGTTAATTGTGAGGTCTGAACACGGACGGAGGGAGTTCTGCTGAGCTGAGCACTGGGGATGACTTATTAAAAAGGACTTATTGAAAAAAAAAAACCCTTTGGTACGTAGCTGAGATACTCAGGGGAAGGCCAGCTCCACACAACTGAGAGGCAGATGATTGGAGGAAAAAGTCCAAGGTTTAATTGAATTCAACAAATTTGTTCACAAAGTTCAGAGAAATTTTCCAGGGTTATGAGATACTGTTATCATCTAATCAGGGGATTATGTATTTGGAAGGAAAACGAGGTGGAGGAAGGAATGGAAAAGAAAGGGAGATATGTGTAAAGAGAGGGAGGAAGGAAATGAAAGAAAATGAATCGATTCCAATCCAAATCCTGTCGTCTGTAGCTACTCCACAGAGAAGACATTGTAAATGAAACGGAGAGATGCGGCTTCTCCGGGCGAGCGAGCAGGTGGGACCGAGTCTACACTGGTCTCTGCGGGCAGCAGCAGACCGGAGGACGTCTTTCCTGACAGCATACAGCTGTTACTCTTAATTACCTCCCGTTATGCGTGTGGGGTTAATTAAACCAGTTTGGGTGAAAAATAAGACATGAATTTCCTAACAAAGGATATTAGGTTAAACCCTACACATCAACAGGAAAAACCCTGAACGTTTGCCTGTATTAGCTAGCTCCGAATTTAGCGACTCATTTAGCTAGCGAACGCTCATTAGCGCCACAACACCGCTAGCAGAAAGCAGATTGGATGTTTCTCGTTGCATCCGTTCATGTTTTAGAAACCAAAAGCTTGCATTTTCTAGTCGGGCACATGCTGTTTTCAAATAAATTAGCCAGTTTCTTCCCGAGTTCGGTGAAGCTAACGGCTGTGTGTTTGATAGCAACGAGGGACTCGGAATTGACCCAGAGTCGCCAGTTACTGTATGTCGCCTTATAATAATGAATGACGGAGATGTACTCATCTCTAGGCTACATGTATTCATAATATTCGCAGCAGTGTCTGCGTGTGTACTACCTTTAATCACCTGTGCCTCATTGTGCGCGGCATACACACCGTAGCTCATTAAAATGATGGATCGAGCCAGAGGGGAAGCTCTCGTTCGCTCCAGATTTGTTCTCGTTTAAAAGGTGTTTAATAGGGAACACCTGTAGGGAACTGCTCTCGTTTTCTGACAGCAATCAAGACGCACAGGAGAAGGCATGCGTTTGACATTTTAGTTGCTGTATGTCCCAATATTTGTCTGTGGATTTGGAAGTGAAGAGTGCGTATAGATGTCATAGTGCTGTGGCTCTCAATGGGGATGTGCTGAACACTTGTTAGTGGGTTGCCTAAATGACTAATAGGCTTTAAAGAATCTGGTATAATGAGGATGGTGTTGGGGTCTACTCAAAGACATTTATTAGGAGCCTTCGTATATTGTCTTTAAGAATACAAAACTAGAATGAATGTAACACAATCGAGCAGAACACAGGGACTTGGACTTGCTGTGTAGTGAAAAATGTGTTGTATTGCATGGTTAGAAATAGTCAAATAAATGGGCGTATCAAGGTTTAAAAGGGCTTAGAAATGCTTCCAATATTGTTTGTTGTGAATTTCAAAGGCAATATATTTTGCCACTACTACATGACATGTTATGAATATGAAGGAAGTTTTATGCATGTTTGACAACTGTGTCATTCCCTCAATTATGACATTTTTAATGCAAATATGACATTGTTTGAGATGTCTTTGTCATTACAACTAAGACAACACAACCTGTCATAAACATGACATAACAGATTAATTATCAAACTTAAGAAACCACCTAGCTTTATTGGTTAACTACATTAAACTGTCGGGTGGTTGGTTTTGACACTGGCTGTCATGAAGCCATTATAACTTTTTAATGACTAATTCAATTAGTTACCACTGTAGTTGAGGTCACGAACAATATTCATGACACAGTTATAATGCCTCATGACAGCCAATGTCAAAGCCAACCACATGACAGTTTAACTTTATTTTATGTCAAGTTGTCATGACAAAGACACTGACAGCTTATGATGTATTGGTTTATATCAAGGTAGACATCTTAAAGTCATATTTGAATGAAAAATGTCATAATTGAGCGAAATACACTTAATGACAGTTGTCATAAACATGCATAAACCCTATTTCATATTCATGACAAATGTCATGGTTATGAAGGTGTCGTGTAAGTCTTATGCACACCCCTTCAAGTTTTCTTGTTATATAATAGGTTGAAAGGTTAATATTTGTGTGGAAATTGGGCTAAATCTAATTGTTTTGGTACCATTTAATATTTTTAGATTACGAATATATTTCAATATAGTATTACTGTAGATATTTTGTATTGTTAGGTTTGGAACTGAAATTGAACTCTTTTGGAAAGTGTATGTAAACGTACAAAAGGTGTATAGATTTTTGGTGATGGTTGTAGAGCTGCACAATTTTGGAAAAATTGAGGATCAAAACTTTTTGTTTTAAATCGAGATCACGAGAATTTTGCGTGTTTGAACTGAGAACCCTTCATGAACCCGATACGACACGTCACAGTCGTCGCCGATGACTCTACTGAGTTTTTACAGGATTTCTCCATGACAACGACTGACGATCAGCGCAGATGCTCTTAACTTTGAGGAAACATGATGATTATAACATTCCTTCCTTGAAATGTACGTCTTTTCTGATTCGGAAAGGTAATTTATTATACCATTTCTTAGTTTAAATGACTGTAGTATTATTATAAGAGTAAATAAAGTGCATGGTGGTATGATCTGGCGCTAAATTTAAATGTTTAACCATTTGCTAAGCCATCTCGCCGGTGATTTGCGATGCATTCTGTGAACTTTCTCGGTGGCGTGTGCCTCTGAAAAGTTTCCATTGAGCCTTGTAGTAATGCATATATAAGCCAAAAAAACAAAACAAAACAAAACAACAAGCAGGTCAGTTTCAGTATTTTGATTTATTTTTTTCTTCATTTTTTTTAAATGCTTTTTTGTTTTAAGAAACAAATGCTTGCAGATGTCAAATGAATTAACACTCACATCCTCACCCCATTTAGAGCGTGACTGACACAACAGAGCCGGGTCCTCGGCCAGCCAATCACGGCCACCCCAGATTCTCAAACCGACACCCACTTCCTGTTAAGTGCATATGTAAATCGAAAAAATGATTTCTCTTTTGAATAACGAAAGTGCACAGGTGGAGCAATACTTTCGTAGACATAACATCCCTGCATTATTCCTGTATATTTCATTCATTTTTGGAGGATATTTTGAGCTGGAATGAGAATCTGGAAAAGACACCGAAGGTCAGGATGCAGGGATTCGTTTCCATTCATTCACTCGTTTGTAAACAGCTTATCTTTTTTTTTTTTCTTTTCTCATAACCCTACATCGACAGGTTTAACAAGGCCTTTTGTCGTACCGTCCGCGCACCCCTCGCGTAAGACAAAAAGGTTAATCAATAACATGGTTCAAAATAAAGTTTAGTGATTGTGCTTTTAAAACCAAAGTCAAACATAGAACAACAAACATCAACAATGACAAAAGAATAACAGTGCATTACAAAAAACAAAAACGAACAAACAATAACCCTCAAAATGTGGCACTTCTCCTGGGGCAGTTTAAACACTATGACAATTTACAACCAGGATGGCGGCTATAAAAAAATTATATTAACTGGTGTAATTTTTAAAATTATTCAAATAAGTCAAGGAAGACAAATTTAATGTACCACAATGGATTATAAAAGACAGTTAGATATGTATACACGTGTATGTACATGTCAGCCAGTCCCTTTGTGCCTGGAGTTTCATTACAGTAACAGCTGACTGACAACCTTCTCGCCAAGGTGAACAAAGCCGTAATCAGTTTCAGGAGCTTTCGGACGCACCATATTGCATTGGAATCAAAACAAAACTGCTTTAGCCCCCTCTCAAATGTACCCTTCGTTTTTGTTTTGTATGTTTTTTTTTTTTTCTTCTGTCTTTTTTTCTTCTTTAAATGCACATTGAAATTAAGGTAAATAAATGAAGAATGGTTGGTCAGTTTTCCAAACGCGACTCTGGGTCGGTAGTTTTCCGATACCACCGAGATGGTCAAACTGCACTGAAGATGGTTGCTGAGGATGTGTAAACAGCCATTTTTTTCATCTTCAGCTCTCCACCATCTGAAAAAAAAATTTAAGCATTATAGTAAACATAAACATCCTTGTCTTATCTTGTAGAATGTGCGCTCCGCACTGATGCTCCCTATTCACAGAGTACGCAAAATCGAAAGAGAAACACGAGCGCACATTCAAACGCGATACCCCACGTTTTAAAAGCGGCTTCCTGAAGCATGCGAATATCTTCCACTATGAAAGCTATCTTATTACCTTACCTTTATTTGCGCTACAAACCAGTATGTTTATGAATACAATAATTAATGAAGATAATCTGATAAGATATACCAGTTTGCATTATAAAGCAGCAAAAAGGCTGTTTTTGTACAGGTGAAATAACTGGAAGCCTCGCACTTTCAAGTTACAAATGGCCATGCCTGATTCTTAAGAATCTTAGAAATGCAGATACATTTGGGGTGTCAAATTCTGCTTGAGGAGGGCCAATGTTCTGCAACCCTGCCCCAACATTTGCCTAGAAGTGTCTAGTAATCGTGAACACCTTGGCCCTGTTTACACCTGGTATTAAAGAGCCCCTATCATAGCATTTGAAATGTTCCTATTTTTGTTTTAAGAGTTCCCAAAAACAGTTTAACATGCATGGAAGGATAAAAAACACTTTATTTGTCTTATAATATGCATTTATTTGTAACTGATTTGCTCACCGACTCCCAAATGATTCGTACAACGACTCATTTTTCCAAACCACTCCTTTGCGTGACGCTAATCGGCGGTGATTGGTCAGATGACAGACCCAGTCTGTTATTGTTTGTTAGCATAACGCATAAACATATTGATAAAGCATTGCAGTACTACAAGACGCTCTATTCTTTATGACAACTCCAATAACAGCGATAAACATTTCACATATTTAAAACAAATTGACATTGGAGACCAAGAAGCTGCGCTGAGCGTAACTTACACACACACACACACACGCACACACACATACTGCCTCGTGCCCCTATACAACAAAACCGTTCAAAACCCATAAAAGCAACAATTATTAATAATACTTACAGGTTTTGATTCGGAGGAGGAAGGTGATCCATATACACTGGGAAGTGTATATGGGTAAGTTACTGAGCCCTCCTTCAGGAACAACCGCTTGCGAATCCACATTTGAATTCATTTATGTTTTTGAACGATTCGTCATTTAAATGATGAGAACACAATCGGGCTATACTGTTGTGGTATCGTTGCAAATATGAACTCTAACCATCGATTCTTCGTATGCTTGTCCCTGGTAAATGAAAACAAAGTGGCTGAACTATCTTTGCATTGTAGAACACAGCGTCTTCTCGACATGATGCTATGATGAAGTATTGGAATGTGTAGACTTCAAGTTTACACTTCCGTCTGCATACACAGTAATTGGGTGCGGCCAATATGTCTCTACGTCACGATGTAACAGCTAATGACTCGTTTCAAAAACAATTCATTTCATAGACTCAGAGTCGACTCTCAATTTTGAAAGACAATAACTTTATATACGGTGCACTTTCAGATATAAATCTTTGCAGGATGTTTTCATTCCCTTAGAGCTATATTCCACACCATATGAACAGTCATTTTCAAAAATCCATGATAGGGGCTCTTTAAGGTGCGTTTTGGTCAATCGGATCACGAGTGGACAACGCAAAATACAGGGTCTGAAACTGTTTTGAGCTTGTCCACTTTTGACCACTTCCAGAGGTTGTCAAAAACCCACTGGACTGGATTCATGTGGTCAAATGCATTCGAACTGCCTTTAATTTCCAGCTATGTTAGAAGTGAGGACATACCTCGAGCTCCTCCCCATCTATCTGGAAGGCTCCTGTGGTGTTTAGCCCAACATCTACAGGGTTTCTGCGGGCCCCTGGAGCCCCCTCGCCTCTCCGCCGTCCACCGGACCCCCGAGAGGACAGTGAACTGGAGGAGCTGGGGTCCCTCTCTCCACGAGGACTGTGGATGGCTGGGAAAGATGGGCGACTATAAGGTAGGATGTCCTCGGAGCCTGAAAGAGACAAGATAATGAAAAAGGTAGGTAACTTGACCATTATTTATTGTAGGATTTACTGTGAGACCGCAGGAATGTAGTGCAGTACCTGGGTGGTGGCGGCTCTTCTGGGCTGCACCGGCATCTTGTTTGCTGCTTTTCCCCGTTCTTTGACCCCTCTGTATATCTTGGCCCTCACGCCGTTCTGAAGAGCTGGTCCGGGTGTCTGAGCCATCCCGGGGCCTGGGTCCGCCCGGATTCGTTCGCTTGTCTTTGCCATCAGCAGAATTGGATCTGGGTGACATGGCCCCCCGTGGTCCCTCCGGGATAGTTTTGGCCGGGTGTGTTGGAGACTTCAGCATGGCTGGGGGAGGAATCGGAGGAGGTGGAAGATCTGTGAGGAAACAACAAAAATGCCTAGTTCTGTCTTGAAACGCTAGATTGTGCAGGCTGATAGGTCCTTAACAAAAGCTGATGATAATTACAGCGTTAACTACTTGCCACAAGCTGATTCAACAGCCAATGAGCCTGATGCTCAACATTTAAATGGCTGTTTACCGTTTACTATAGCAGTTTGCAGCACACTTTCAGACCCTCCAGTTTCCCAGCTCCACCTGCTATGATATATGCTATTTGTGAAGCAGCAGTAAGTCTAGCGTAATCACAGTAGTGGATAGGGCCCAGCAGTACGTAGGGCCCTATGAAATCCATTTTATTTTTTCCCAAATTCCGTTTTTTTTCCATTTTAGTTTTTGGGAATTAGCTTTTTTTTTACCCTTGACTGTTATTTTAGTCGTAAAAAGACTGTGCTTTTTAAGTTAATGATTGAAATGTATTAAAAAATACAAAAAAAAAAAATAAGATTGACCTTAAATTTTAGGCAATACAGACATTTACTCAGTAGCCTTTTCAGGACAAATACTACATGATGCAACATGATGCAAAACGAAACGCAGTATGTGGCGGCGAATTAGCCTATGTGTGGGAAACACTGCATAAGTGACCTGCGAACTTCTCGGCTCGGCACTGCCGGCTTATAGCGTTGAGTTTCTTAACTTTTTGCCGACGAAAGCAGAGCCGCGTAGAGCCGCTTCGCCATGCTTTCATCGATTTGATTTCGTCATTGGAGCTGAAATGACGGGTTGAGGGGTTTGTGTCGCCCAGATTTGCTTCCCCCGGTCTGCATTTTCACCAGACATGCGTTCCTCTCCCACACAGAAACCAGACTGATCTCACGAAGTAGCGTGTGAATGACACGCCAATTCGTATTTCCATTTTTGGTGTGCTATCAACACGCATAATCGCTTTTCAGCGCGTTTATGAACGCCGTTGACTTAACGTTATTACTGTATATGACTTACCTCAACCCTGTCCCTAAACCTAACCATCACTGGGGTTAATGGCATTTATGACTGTTCCCTTACCATCCTAGGGAAAAAAAAAAAACATTGCTCCCCAGATGTAGATGTACATTTTGCTTTGTTTTGGTCGGACATTTGACGGCGAGTACGGACACACGGAATGACGCGGACGTTAATGGCGTAGACATATATGCACACACGCGGATAGCTCAAAATGCGTCGATGCGAGATAACACGCCATTTGACTCGAAATTGACGTGTATGTTTACGCAAAAGTCATGATGTCACGTTGCAAAAACAGAATTTCAAACCAAATATGTAAAAATCCACGAAATTCCACGTTAACACTAGATTCCGTGTTAAGTGGCCAATTCCGCAATTCCGTCATCGTGGAAATCATAGGGCCCTACAGTAGCAAGTTCCTGTACTTTTTCTGCAACGGCTCTATCCTGTCAAGACTAAATGCATTACATTGTCAATTACATTACCATGCTAAAAATCTTCTGAGAGGTCTCATTATAAAACAGACATTCACGTTTTGAATGTGTCAGTGCACCAATGCTAGCATTTGCAAGTTTCCATTTTAGCTCACTCAAGACGCGCTATATTCACACATGCTTGTGTCCTTCAGAACCAGACGTTTAGCTAATTGACACCAGAACTCATTTGTCTGGCACCCGGAAGGTGCCATGGAAACACAGCTGTGCCGTTGCATTGCAACCCTCCAAACAGCTGCACGCTGGAGCTCTTTCCCACTGAGGTGCCGCTAGTCAGTCGAGAAACTGTGAATGACGGTTCATCACTGTCACTGGATTTCTCGGCGCTTCCCGTGCCAGTTATTCGGGGTTGTTTACGATTGCTGTTCTTGTTCAATATCATCGGCTAAAAAAAAGTCTGTCGGTAATGGATCCTGTAAACTTGTGCCAGGGACTATGAAACCTGATTACATTTTAAATCAACATGCCCAGAGGCACCAGAGACACAAATATACCCGTTGCGTAAACATTGCGTCACTAAGACGCTTGTTGACTAGTTTAAAAATTGTGCTTGGGCGCTGCGTCAACATTTTTACACATTCAAGGTCAAAGCACACCGAGCGCGTGTCTCGTTTTGTTGGGCAGAGCTTAGCCCGCCTTCATCACTGCTCTGACACTCAGCAAAATACGAGAAGGATCAGACCATCGTAGACGTGGATGGTTTTTCTAAGTCCTGTGGTGTCTTGCAGTAAGTCAGGCCGCGGATCGATGCCGGGGTGAGAGAGACGGAGCACATTTCAGAAGAGAGCTGTTAGATTCATGAGGGGTCTGTGCTTTATACAACGGCTAGCACTGCTGTCTTTATTTGCTTGTGTAGTTTCTATGAAATTACTAGTAAAACACGTCCTTCTTGCTTATGTGAAGTTTGAATGAAAGCTTGGTCATCACAAGAATAAATTACTTTTTAAAATAGGAAACACTTGTTATATTATTTCTAGGGTTGCAAAGGGGTGGAAAATTTCTGGACAGTTTCCGGTAAATTTTCATGGGAAATTAAGCTGGGGAATTTTGGAAATATTCCATATTAGAAACTTTCCATGGGAATTCATTGTACTGTAATCGATCATTGTATCATATTCAAGCATAAATATAAACAGTCATAAGAAATTAATGTACATTTCAGAAGAAAATGTGAAGTGGTGCTTGCAGTGGCAAAACTTACCACTCGGTTGCTAGGGTGTGGTACATGGTTGTATACGAACCAACAAACTTGTCTGTACGATGTTCTGGGCAGTGGCGGCTTGTCAATAGGGGGCGCTGGGGCGCCGCCCCCATCAAGAAATATACATATACAAAAATTATTTAAAAATACAACAATAAAATATTTTTTTCATACGATGTACCGGCTGGTAGTAAGAAAAGCATCAGCATTTAATAAAAACTGGCTTTAATCGGTCAACTATTTTCTATGTTTTTCAATGTGTTTCATTGGGACGCCGGACTAATGGGTGTCTATGTGAGGCTTTAAATTTTCGTGCAACATGTGACCTGAAGCTGGCCTCTAATTGGTTTCTTAAAGATTCACCTCAGGGCGCAAGTCGTTGCGTCCCTGGCCAATCAGAATTTGATTCACGTTATTTTATCCAATATGATTGGTCTCGTCACCTGTCATTCAACTTCACGCTCTGGGCCACTACCAGAGCCGTTACTATACTATTTCGAGCGCGCAGACGACACCATTTCGACATTTTTTGTATAAATAATGGCAGCAGTTCATCCAAATTCTGTGATTTTTTTTTACAAAAAAACCCTTTCACAAGGCTTTCGTTGGAAGAAAAAAAAAAGATAAAGGATCTCGGACCGGACCAACCCGATTTACAAATTCAGCAGCAGGCCAGTGACAGGGGACGAAGCTACACACGAAGCTTCACCCGCGCGTGTTATGAGAAACGGAGGTGGCTGGCTGGATGTGTTATTAGCAATTCTCTTTTTTGTTTTCCCTGCCTTTTATTTCAAAGTGTCGGCACTGAAGTTTTGTGGACAACAACGCGGGTAAGAGACCTCAAACATCTCTCTGAAAAATGCAAACGTACTTCTTTATTAGTATGAAATGTATATAAAAGAGAGCAATATGTTCAAGTAGGAAACATGCTTTCTGGTACTTCTTTACTAGTACGAAATGTATATAAAAGAGAGCAACATTTAAGTTCAAGTCGGAAACATGCTTTTTGGTACTTCTTTATTGGTATTAAATGTAAATAAAGATCATACATTTATATTTAAGTAGTAGTCAACATGGTTTTTGGTACTGCTTTGTATTTATTTGCCCTCCTCAATAAAAAAAATACAAATAAAAAATGCGCCCCCCCAAAAATAAATATCACCAGCCGCCACTGGTTCTGGGTGTTTGCTATGGTGTTGCTAGGCAGTTGCTAAGGTGTTCTGGGTGTTTTCTATCGTGTTGCTAGGTAGTTGCATATGTGATATTCGCAATTTAAACATTTAATAAATATATTTCCCCATAATATCATCAAAACTTCACTTTGTTTAGTCCACAGGCTCAAATGTGTGTCTTCAATAGTCTTGAGCTTTGGGCATGTGATGGAGGCATGCACAGTGCCAGTAGGGGTGTGGTCTCAATAGCCATGCAGTAAGCAGTGTTCTATGTGCATGCGATTGAGGAATGACATGTATATTCAAGTGTATTTGAATGGCATCTGTTTGTTTCAGTCAAGATTATACTAAAGTATACTTTCCTCAACTATATTTAAGTTCCCAATGAAGAGCCAACCCTCAACTTTGAAAATTTCCCATAGTTTATTCCTGTTAATTCCCTTAAATTCCCATTAATTCCCATGGAAAGTTTCCAACTTTGAAAATTCCCAGAATTTTGCAACCCTAATTATTTCACAGTGTTGCAGTAAATGCAGCCTTAGTGAGCCGAGACTTTAAAAATAATTAAAAAACAAACAAACAAAAAAAAAAAAAACCCTAACCAACCCCAAACTATTGAAAGGTAGTGCATGTCTTTGCAAATGCAACTGTTAATAAAATTGCCTGTTATCTGAGATGAGTAGTTTTAAATCAACCTGAGCTGCCTAACATACACACTGCATTCAAGCAGGCACATAAAACATATTTATCATATAACTTGGCTGCAGTGCAAAAAAAAAAAAAAAAAAAAAAAATCAAATGGTAGCCAATCAACCGAAACCTCTAGAAAATGGCATCAGCTAGAACTAATGGGCAAATGCCATGTCAGCTTGGCTCATGAATAGCTAAATTTATTCCTACGGCTCTGTTTTTCAAGGATGTTCTTCATTTTAAAGTTTGAAAATAACCGTCGACGTGCATTTTAAGTATGTTCATCAATCAAATTCAAAGACCTAATTGTAATATTTACATGGTAAATATCTAAAAAAGAACAGCTGGAAAAGTCGTGAAATGCATCCAACCTACATATATTATGTTCCTTTCAGCCGCTTTACATGTTTTCTAACTCCTATTTGACAAGCAAAGACGTCCGACATTCCTGTAGAAAACTTTTTTTCCTTGAAATCTGAATGAAAACTTTTAATAGAAGCGTGCAAAAGAAGGAAAATAAGACAAAGAGAGGGAGGAACGTCTGGAAAAGACTGTCTCTTTTCTCTCCAGACAGAAGTGGAGGCAGATGAAAGGTTAACAGGGCCTTCTGGAGAGGAGTTGGAGGAGGACGAGATAATAAGCCTGGTGTCACCCAAAGCACTGAGCAAACAAGAGCAAAATTAACAGAGGCGGGAGGGATTGCATGTTTGACGCGTGGTATTTGGGGGGGTTGGTAGGCAATCTGTGTTTCATATCATTTAGTTTTGAGTGTGTTTGTGTGAAACGCATTCAAACGACAACCTCCTGTGCGAAACACTGTATTTAAACCTCCCACACAACGCAGCTCGACTAAGGCCTATCGAGTCGAAACACACATTCAACAGAAACTTCAGCTGACACAGACTGATCAATCTGGGTCTCTTCAGCGGCCAACAGCGAACAAAGACGACAGAGAGAGGGAACGGAGAAGATTAGAAGAGGGGGAGGAAGAGATTACAGTGAAGGGAGGGAGCGAAGGACAGATGAGAGGGGCTAGTTGATCTGATAGAGCCGACCAAGGCCTGTGTGGGTCTGATATTAAATCTCAGTGTCAACACACAAGGACAACTGACTCAATGACGAGACGCAGCAGATGAGAACGTGCGCACAAATACACACTCGCACGATTGTGAGCAGAAATTTCGGATGCGTTTGTGAGCACTTCCTTTTTCACTTCCACACGCATTACACACATAGCATGACCTTTCTGGAGGCTTCGGAGCTTTTCAGAAACTTGGGAACCTGCTGCAATTTCATTAGAGACTCAACAGGACTTGGCGCTTATGACGCACTGTAGCTGGAAGCCACTGTCCCACCCCTTCTTGCTCTTCATTATATATAGTGGAGGTACTTTGCACATAATTTATCTATGGAGTTTTTAATCAATTTTAATTTTTAATTTTAGATTACAATTTACTGTATATGAATGGATTATGTTAAACACCCAAACAATCTTTTTGTATTTCAGGCTCATGAGATGAGTTTTGTTAATTTCATATTTTAACTTTATTTTAAGTAAATTAAATGTTAAACAGCACAACATAAAACTCAAAATTAACACAAAAATATTACCTATATATATATATATGAAATGAAATATATATATATATATATATATATAATTCATAATATCTTTGGCTATATTTTGATTTTAAAATATAGATTTATTTATTTAAAAATATTGTACATTCATAATGTAATGATAATACTTTGCTACATGTTAATGTTTAGTACCTTTTCTTAAAAAAAATATTTTAAATGTATACATTTTGAGAAAAGAATAAAAACAACAAATGAAAGATTTTATTATGTAAATTATGTTTGGTGACATTTTAAATGTTCCGTATTTATTTAATTTTTTGAATTTATAATTACAAAATTCAGTTACATTTAAATGTTCCATTTTTATTATTTCTTAAAAAAATATTTTTTTTATATAATATTCTGTTAATTAAATTTTTTTTTTAATTTACCCCCGCTCCCCCTAAAATAGTAAACATATTTAGTTTTCATGAATCCCATCCCTAATGACAGTGTACAGAACGCAGAATTGTGTGTGTGGACGTACCCTCTGTGTAGGCCTCTCGCCGCTGGTAGCCTGTCTGAGCAGCTGGATGTTGTTTTTGCCTCTTTAGGGGCCTCCTCTGACCCGGGGCTGCGCTAACGTTACTGTCTGTGGACACTGGGCTGCCTGGACGGTGTCCCGCAGGGAGGTTTTGGTATTTCCGTGCTGCTGGAAAATTAGAGGATGGAGAGTTTGCTTAGTTCAGCTCTATTAAAGGCTACAGATTTGAATACAAATTAATTTAGCTGTGGAACATATAGTATTAAAGCTAGTGTCTTCATTTGAAATCATTAGCATTTAAATTCATGAGCAACTTTCGGTGGAACACTTCCATATCCTCCATAATGAAATCTCCAAGTGAAAATATAATATTTTGTGGCTTTGTCCCTCATAAGTTGATTCAGGAGGAGGTTTAAAGTCTTAGCAGTGCACAACTACATCAGGAATGTTTACTAAGAAATCGTATACATGTTTCAGTACCTCCAGACACTGGAAGCTGATGGGGGCCTTTCCCAGGATGCTTTGCCACTCGTAGACCAGCATATTCGGCCGCAGCTGCCACGGCCTGAGCGAAATCAGCATCGGTAAAGAAAGATCCGTCCGACGAGCTGACGGCGCTGGAACGTCCCGACGAGGCGTTGTCCTCCTCTGAAGCCGAGCCCCAGCCGTTGATCATAGACCCGGTGACCGAGCTCTCAAGGTCGCAGGTGCTGGAAGCCGGGGTCTGTTCCAGGCCCCGCAGGAGAGCCCTCTGCTGGGGCAAGTGCTGCTGGTGAGGGTGGCTGTGGTGCTGGTGGACTCGAGCCACTTCTGCATCCGTTTCGTCACCCTCTTCCTCGTCCTCATCTTCCTCCAGGCCATCCGTGTCCAGGCCGAGGGGGCTGGAGATGTAGCCGTACGTGTGCGGCGGGGAGAGAGGGCGCGGTGGAGGGGGTGGGCTCACCAAGAGTCGCCTAAAAGATGACAAATATATCAAAACTGTAAACGCTGCAGAAGTGATTTGAAAAGAAAAGCATTAGGGAGCTGTTGCGTACCTGCGCTCATGTAGGTCAGGGTTGTCGTGCAGCATGGGATGCATCTCCTCCTGAGGGGACGGGGTGAGGGTCGCGGTGGACTGGTGACTGTAGGACACGGCCGCAGGGGAGGAAGCCGCTCCCCGCACAGGAGGCGTAGGTCCGCGCTCCAGCTCCACCTCCTCCTCCTCCTCTTCAAGCTCGTCAGGCTGCAGATACATCCGAGATGGTGGCAAAGGGCACTGCAGGTCGGTGTCATAACTGAAGACGGAACAAAAGAACATGTGATCAGAACATTTTTAGAAACATCTATTTTGATTTTCCCTGAGTTTGTGCATAATCATGTTAGGTTTTAATATTTAGTAAACACTTTTTTTTAATAATATTAGTAATTATATCAATAGTTTATATATTAATAAAATTGAATAATTAATAAAGATAAAATAATTAGTTTTTTAAATATATATATTTTGCATTATGTTAACATTTTTTGTCATCATTTTATTTCTTTTCTAATAATTCATATATTTTATATTTATTTTAAATATTTATGATTTAAATTGATTCATTTTTCAAGAATAATAATTCATAATATTATAAAATTAAAATATTATCGCATTAGTTTAGTAATAATATTAAAAGGGCTTGGCGGCAACTGTGGCTAGTGGTTTTCCAAAGTTACAAGCCACTCAGCATTTTCACTGGCCTAAATTTTGACATCTATACCATGGAGAAAAACCTCTATTTAAATATTTTAATGGCATTTTGACATTATTTTGAGTGTATTTGACTGTCTACGTGCAAAAAGCTGCAAAGAAAACATCAATTTTGTAGTTAGAAACAGCTTTATGCGCACTTTGGATGTGAGCGTAAAATCTGCAGGAATGGGTCAAATTATTCGCAATTCAATACCAACATTATTCATACAGAGAAAATGAAACAAGTGATGGGAGGCGGGTTTGTTTCGCTCAAGCGAGAAAGCACAGCTGGTGTTTCAGATATTTCAGTATTGATATGTATCAACACTACATTGCACTTAGTTTATTATTTCAAATGCCTTTCTAAAAGACTACAGTTGAAATACACATTTTATATATATAAAATTCAACCCACCAAAGTGGCTAGAAGGAGTGACTTCATTACACGCCACTGCTGAAATTTGCATTATAAGCATACACACCAAAAGTGAAAACCTGTTTGTGTGTTGACCTCACCTGTCGTCCATCGCGAGTGTGTATTCCTGACATGGTGGTGGATTAACCGGAGGAGGCGGCAACAGTTCGGTCCAATTCATAGTGTTCTGTTTGGCCTGTTTAGATGTTCGCCCACCTTTTTTCTGCCCTTGACTTCCTGTAAAGCAAACGAACAAAAACACAAACAGCTATAGTAATTCTTAGCCCACAATGCCATCTGAACTCATAAATTAATTTGATTGCAAACCAAAATGGGTTTATAAACTCTGTTAGTTTGTTTGCTGAGCTTGATGCATGTGTAAAACAAATGGCACTTTTACACTCAGGAGAAGCAACATTAATGACACCCACACCATAATTTATGCGGTGTAAAACGCTTATGTGCATTATCTCTCTATTTGTAATTAACGCTGCGCTCTCCATCAAAAATGAGTCATTTTTCAAAACTAACACTCTCCATTGCCCAGAGGAGAGGTAGAGTGAGAGAGAGCATTAAAAAGAGAAACATTGGAGGCCAATTAACAGAAAGGAATTAAAATTCAGAACCAATGAGCTGTGAGGACCTCCACGCACTCAGACCCTCTCTTTAATTACCTGAACTTCAAATACAATATAAAAATAGATACGATGCATTACGCCAGCAGCCTTGCATACGCCGCAGAATGGGGCTCATTTATCTTTGTCCCGCAACAAACACCGGCTTTCTGACAACATTATCCCCCCTTCCTTTGAGTCGGATGGATGAAAGCCGGAGTAATTAATGACGGTGGGGCGAAGCGCAAAAAGGGAGGGAGGATATCCTCCAAATCAGAAACATCCCCGGAAAATGCGGAAGACCTTAGAAATCTGCAGGGAACATGGTGTTAACTAAAGAAATAAGGAATGAGGGAGTGATCGTCGCTGCCGCGTTTAAGATATGCGGCCGTGCACCTCAGAAATCATGAGGAAGAATCACCCCCTTTTGTTCTGACATAAATGTTTTTCTTTGTTCCCAGCAGTTTTTTTAACAATGAGCTAACGATTTGAAAATGTCCTGTTTTGCATATGATTTACTGCCTCTTGAAGTGATGAAAAGCCTCAGAAATAATGGAAATGAAAAGAAAATGGAATAATGGGTAAATTGCGAATGTTTAGCAGGTTACGTACGCAGGTTCCGTAAGAAACGGACCGGATGAAAAGATAGATAGATCAACAGTACAATAGACGGATGTCTTACCAGAGGTGCTGCTTCCCCTGTCCGAGCTGCTGTAGGTTCCTCCTGTGAGGGCGTCCTGGGCCTGGTTATAGGGGATGGTGACTGAGATGGGACCCTCACCTCGGTAGTGGTCTAAGGGTTTACAGTCAAGAGATTGGGTTTTTATTATACATCCAGGTGAGGCATTATATACCAGAGCAACTAGACGAATGAAAGCTCTTATAAAAGCAGACAATTTAAATTAGAACGCATCGGACAGTCGAGTGGTTAAAAGGTTACAAAAGGGGTTCAGTCATAAGCTGTTATGACTTGTTGGTGACTGGTTTCAATTGTCTATCAAGCGTGAAATATCACACCCACACACAGAGTTAGACTCATGCAAGTTGAGTTAGAAAGCAAACACAATTACCTTTTTAGTGGCACAATATAAAGCAGCAGATAATGGATAGCTTTGAGCTTGAGTTACATTCCCCCTTATTTGTACAGTAATCTAAGATCTCTGGCTTCACACTGTTCGGAGATATCCGACACTTCACAGCCTCCTCTTTTCCTTCATCCCCATCCAAACAGTAAAACAACAGCTATAAATATGGATTAAGTTGACTAGCAGAGCGTCGAGTTAAATTACACATATATGCAACACGAGCAGCCGTGACGGATAGAAAAGGGGTTAGATAGTCAAAGAGCCCCATGTAAAGGTGCCAGAGATGCTATTAAGTATCAAAATCGTTTATTACGGTCTGAATATGAGGAGACAAGAAGAGTTTGACGATGCACCCGAGAAAACACGGCATGGGTTTCTTTACAATCAACTCTAAATGAAAGTGCTTTAACTTTTTGGGTATGGTTTGAATATGAGGAGACAACTGAATAAGTGCAGCACCTTGATGACACACCTTTGTGGTAAACCCAGAAAACATGGCATGGGTTTCTTTGAAGACTAGTCTTAACGATTAAATTTGAATAACTCTTTTTGGGACCGCAATTAAAGGCTTAGTTCACCCAAAAATGAAAATTCTGTCAGTATTTACTCACCCTCATGTTGTTCCAACCCTTCGTTCATCTTCGGAACACAAATTAAGATATTTAAGATATTAAGATCGCACCTGCATACTAGTCCATAGGCTTCTTGAGGGAATGACACTTGCTGGCATCGAAAAGTCATCAAAGACATCGTTAAAATAGTCCAAGTGACTACAGGGGCTCAATTTTAACTTTATCAAACGACGAGAACACTTTTTGTGTGCAAAAACAAACAAAAATAATGACTTTATTTCAACTATTCACTTCCTTCTCAATGGGCCTGTAGTCAGTTAACGTAGTGTGATTGCGTAAAGCTACGTCACACGTAGGCTCACTATTGGCCGACACTGGTCATGTGTGTGATGCGTGTGACGTACAATAACAGAAGCTTACGCTATTAAACTAGTAACCTGACTCGAGGCAGAGGGAGAAATAAACGAATAGTTGAAATAAAGTCGTTATTTTTGTTGTTTTTGCGCACAAAAAATGTTCTCGTCGTTTGATAAACTTAAGATTGAGCCCCTGTAGTCACTTGGACTATTTTAACGATGTCCTTTAATGACTTTTCGAGGCCAGCAAGTCATTCCCTCAAGAAGCCTATGGACTAGTATACAGGAGCGATCTTAATATCTTAAATATCTCAATTTGTGTTCCGAAGATGAACGAAGGTCTTACGGGGTTGAAACAACATGAGGGTGAGTAAATACAGACAGAATTTTCATTTTTGGGTGAACTAACCCTTTAAATCCACAGAACTCACCCTTGTTCAGTTTGTTTTGTTCCATGACGTTATACTGCAGGGGTGTGTTGATGTCGGCCTGTTTCTGAGGGGTTCCCTGGCTGCTCTTCCAGCTCTGCTTCTCGTTAAGGTCGGCACTTCCTCCTCCGCTTCCGCAGCTACTGCTGTTCATGTTGTTGTTGGCCAGGCTGGACTGGATGAGCTGGGTGGTGGCATAGGGCGTGGGCTGACCACCTGGTCCCACGAAACGGCCATCCTTCAGGTTGGGGCTGTTGAAGGTCTTCATCTCGTTGATCTTGTTGGAGAGGTCCACGTCGCTGTAAAGGCCTGTGTCTGGAGCCAGCAGATTGCAGGCCTTGTTGTCCATTTGGTTGCTGTAGTTGGCAATGCAGTCAGCTGGACGATAGAAGGAGGGGTAAGACATTTTGATAGCCAATGGACTTAGCAGACTGTTTAGGACCTATGGATAAAACTGGATTGAAAACTCATGGAGCGAAGACACTAGGTTGGTTTTAAAGTGCAGATTAAAACCGAGAAGGATGTTTTCAGACAGAAAGGACACTTGAAACCAGAAATTTCTAAGAAGATGTGGATCACCCGAAATTCAAATACTAAGATTAAACTCCCTGATACTCTACAATCTATTTTTTCTCCCCTTGTCCACGACACAAGCCAAGCGTGTCGCTTTGAGTTTCTCGAACAGCCGTGCGAAAGGCATCCCGGCTCATCAAGCAGGATGTTCCAACACGTCCGAATCAAAAGCTTCCAAAACGAGGAACGCTGTAAAAGCCCATCCTCTGACAGATCCAATTTTCTCCGGCTCATAAAATATTCAAATCCTCCCTGGGATCGGAGCAAGAAGCTTGGCGCGTAAATACCGCGGCCTGCCATTGGACAGATTTCGAGCGTAGCTCATGTTTCCATAAGAAGGAAAGGCTCGGCACTTCAAAGGTTGACGTATCAATGATAAAAGATCCCATGGAATGAGACAAACTAAGTCGTAAGTCTTTCCAGAGAAGCCCTGTGGGTACTGATCCGGTTAATATCCTGGAGATTTTTTAGTATTTGGCACACCAGGCAAGCGGGTGTCAAGCTTTTAACATGTCATGCTGTGAGAGTCACTCAACATTTATCCTTCATTCCTGCTTTGATGAAGGCGACATGGATAAAAATCTGTTAGTGAAAACACTCCAAATAAACGGATATCAAAGGTAAAGCAAAGCTTTTGGGTTAGAATATCCCCATCTATGGTTTCTATGAATGGTGTGAACAAACACAAAGCTTAATCCTCAGGTCTATCCTTGAATATGGGAACAAATTTCTTATATTCAATAGAAAGACATTTTCTAAAAGGATTGGATCCATTTAAGGGTTCTGTAATGAATGAAATGCTCTTAGCCAATGGCTTAGTCACACACGCTGATATCTGGGAACAAAAAAAGCTCTTGTAACGTTTAAATCATTAAATAAACCAACAGTGACGCCGCTGTCCAAACTTGTAAAAACTGGGTGACTGTAAATTAACACTACTTTGTCACTTTCAGTGTTGTGTGTCTCTTTGGACTCATGAGTCAACCTGGCGTTCTTTTGTTTGTAAAGTAACTTGCTGACTCCTGAAAAAAAGCCACCTGGAGGTGCTCCATCACTCCTCCTCTTTCCTCGCCCTTTCTTTTCTTTTTTTTTCTTCTTTCTCTCAGGTCTATTTTGACCTCTGCATATACTCCTGGTTTCCCGAATAAGCGAGCACTTAGAGAAACTGCATTAAAAGGTTCTAACGGCGGTATGGAAATCAGGCAGCTGATTGGATTAGCTGGACTACAGCCTGCAGGGCCTTTTCAATATCGGGAGCTTTTATTTTCCCTAAAAGTCCACGTTCCAACAAATCACACAGTCGAGTGTCAAAGGAAGGACACACTATTTATATTGCATTCCATTAAACTTGGAAAGTTGGAATTTCCTGCTTGGAACGGCGCAATAGAACGACGCTTCTTCCAAGTTGGAAAATTGGTAATCCAAACCTTCAATGAGATTTAGGAAAATGGCATTGCACGAACATGGCGATAAAAGAGGGAAATGAACACCGTTAATGTTATTTAGTTGCTTTAAACTGTGTTCAAATAAAACATCATTTAGTCACAGTTACCATAATACACCCCGTTTAGCAAGTCTTTTCCTCAGTTGTAAGTAACTCTTTCAGAGATCGTCTTTCCTCAGTCGATGCTTTGGGTAAAATATTATTTGGGTAAAATTTTCTATTGGTAATCATAATTTTGTTTATTTTAAACATCAGCTTCCATGCATTTAAAACCAACATGCTACATGTTTGGAAGTGCGAGATTTGTACACCATAACAACGAGACTACTACACACTCACCTGGGCGGCTGTAGGTGGCCAGGTTGCTGTCGCTGTTTCCATTGCTCCCGGTGCAGCAGTTGATGGTGCAATCGTTTTGATTGGAGCAGCTGTTGGGCCAGGTGTCCGCAAGCCAGGGCTGGGTTGCCGGTTCACCTATATTCAATAAACCCGGCCTAAAAAACAGACACAATGTGATTTATTACAAACTTTAATTTGTAAACGGTAAATGCACAAGGTATGATCGTGATCAGTTGTCTTGTTTTAATTAGGTTTTTAGACTTACTGTGACTTTTATAGACCATTTCACAAGATGTAAACAACACTGGTCCAGAAGCACTTCCTGTTTCAGTTTTTTAACACTACATAAGAGCTGGGATAAAATACAACCAACAGAACATATAAAACTGAATCAAAAAGTTAAACAAACATCTTTAAGATGTTTTCTTTACATGTGAAACAAAGAAAACAGTTACAAACTGATACAGGAAGTGCTTCTGGACCAGTCCCAGATAGCAAACTGACATTGAAACAACGTGGAAACAACGTCTCTCATGACATTGAAACAACGTTGATTTTGCTCATCGAATTAACGTTGAAACCAACATCAGACGCGGCATTCTTCAAAGCTAAATGAAAATCGAAAATTGGTTTGCTTTCATAACGTTGAAACAACGCGTTGATTTCAAGTTGATTTTCCGTTAGTTTTGAAAGAATGACGCGTCTGACGTTGGTTCAACGTTAATTCGATGAGCAAAACAATGTCAGATCAACGTTGTTTCGATGTCATATTTCCACGTTGATTCAATGTCAGTTTGCTATCTGGGGTGTTGTTTACATCTTGTGAAATGGTCTATACAAAAGACTCAATACAGACAGGAATCATACGAGGCCAACACAGTAACATTGAAGTTTAAGGGCTGCGCTAACTCATAGCTGCCAACTCTCACGCATTGGCCGTGAGACTTGGTTTCACACGCCACACCCCCGATTTCTCACGCTGAAGTCCCAGATAGCAAACTGACATTGAATCAACGTGGAAATATGACATCGAAACAACGTTGATCTGACATAGTTTTGCTCATCGAATTAACGTTGAACCAACGTCAGACGCGTCATTCTTTCAAAACTAACGGAAAATCAACTTGAAATCAACGCGTTGTTTCAACGTTATGAAAGCAATCCAATTTTCGATTTTTATTTAGCTTTGAAGAATGCCGCATCTGACGTTGGTTAAACGTTAATTCGATGAGCAAAATCAACGTTGTTTCAATGTCATGAGAGACGTCGTTTCCACGTTGATTCAATGTCAGTTTGCTGTCTGGGGTGTCAACACGGTCGGTCCATAGCAGTCAACCCTCCCGTTGTTTCAGATTTTCTCACGTATTTTAGCTCTTTTACGGTCTTCCCGTTTTAGTATAGATATCCCGTAAATATCCCGTATTTTTACGCTCTGATTGCGTGAGACGTACAAGCTCGGACAGGTTCGGCTTGAAGTCGTTCATCCTCGGACTTTTAATGAAACTCTTTAGACTTTTAATGACTAGTGCTTTATTTAAGTTTGTAAGTGAGTTTTTAATCGTGAAAAAAAAGCACCTTATTTTGGGGATGGATTCCGGGAAATCTCTCTTCGATTTTGACAGCTATGGGTAGGTCAAATGTCTGAAAGATGAGTTTATCTATTGATCTGCCACTTGTGATCCACTAGTTATACCGCAAATTAGTTAAAAATGTCCCGTAATCTATAGCGTGCATGCTTGCGAGACAGAGATTGTGCTCCAAACTGTAGAGCGAACGAGAGACCGTCAACAAATCTCACTCCAAGCAAAACTCAAAAGTTGTCAGGTATGCCAACTGTTTGCCTGACCAATGGCAGGCAGAGGGAGCACCATTCCATTTGATGGTGGTGAAATGACACTTCAGCTTTAAATAAGAAGCCCGTCCCCTCTTCTTCTATCCCAGTGCATCTCTCAGGGCTGTATCTGTGCTAAATGGATTGTGTTTGCTTGAGTTGCTCGTGGCTGATGACACCGTTTCCCTGAGGCCTCGTGACCGTTAGATCTCTGTGTGGATTAGCCAAGCGCTGGAGAACATTGCTGCTCCAGCCTGGGAAAGAAAAACACGAATCAACCGAGCCATCGTTAAAGGAAGAGCTTGGAGCTCCTAGCGCATGCCAGGGTGTCACAGTCAATCACCATGATCTCAAGAGCTAGAGAAAGCTCTGGATAAACTCATATATGAATACACCCAGAGCAGTAGTAACCGTTTCTATCAAATCTCACACTTAAAATCAGTGGTATGAGATTTTGTATTTCAAAACACTGGTTTTTGTGAGACAATGTGATTAAATAAGGTCACATTAAATTTTTTTTTTTGGAACATTTATCAAAGGCACAAAAAGAACATGAAAGAAAGAGTTTTGTGCAATGTGATGCTTCAAAGCTGGTGCTCGTGCCTTATATCCCTGCAGCATGGTCTGTCTCTTTCTTGTATTTTTTCTAACAGACTCTTTAAGCTTCAAAACCGGCATAAACCTTTCCTCCAGGCAAGGGCAAAGACCTCCTCAATGAAAAACTAGACTCTAAAAGACTGCATATGAGCATGGGTGCACCTGGATGCAAAATTATTGCATTGACATGGTAGAAACGAAGGGCTTTTGTCTCATCTGGGCTCTGCAGGACTCCGTCTCAATGTACAACCTCCAAAGGCGTCTTTGCCAAGACAAAAATGCCCCCTGGTGTCAATAAAAGGCAACTACACTACAGTACACACCCTCCACATGGACATTGTTGGCTTCTGATGAATAGCATGGCTATTTTAATGTGCTTTAAGAACATCTCACCTTCCCGCACTGCTGACGGCCTCTCCTCCTCTCTGATAGGCCACTGCAGATAAAAGAAATTACATTAATGAAGGAAAAACAACATGGAAAACATCTAAAAACGGTCCCTTTGTGTTTTACAGAAGAAAGTAAGTCATACAGGTTTTGGAAAAAAACATGGATGGATAAATAAAGGCATATTTTGAACACTTTGAAGCTAAGAATGCTCATCCAAACTTGCATATTTGCTTATATATCTTGCAAGCCCCTGCGTTTCATTGAAATAAAGCTTGTTTGGTTGAATTTGCTACTAAAAACAAGCGATCTCTTTCTCCCCTTTAATAAAAAACTCCCTAAACTAGGTGAGTCAACAGCGGTTACAGAAAGATTGCACGAGATGAAAAATAATGAAAGGGTCCAAGTGTCTTTCTCTGGCATGTTAAAGTCATCCGAGTTCAATCCTCACGCTAGGCCAGTTCCTCTCCCCGTCTAATTGGCCACAAAACTTCTGATGTCACAGCTTCCTATCCAGCGTTAGCGCTTTGATCAGCTCCTTTGCCAGTTCTAACAGCCCTCTTTAGTCAAGCACTCTTTTCTTTAAGCACTTTCCTCCCTCTCTGTCTTTTATTTTTGACTTCTTTTTATGCTGACAAGTCCATGCGACTGAAGTTCTCTTTGATTATCCATGTAAACCTCAGACTGGGGTTCCTTTCTTGTGGGGAGATGTATTTTTAAAGAGAGGCCGTGCCTCCCACACTTTCGCCCGGTGGTGTCATGTTTGTTTTGAGTTGTGCTGGGCCGAACGAACGTGACTGAAGCCAGTGTTGAGGGACACTTTATTACAATGGCTGGCAAACATTATACCGCAGCGCACTTTCCAACTCCACTGGGCAGGAAGTCGTCACACTCTAGGGATTGTGGGAATTATGTGCACATGTGCTGTGAGGAAGGTGTGATTACCTGTGGGGGTGAAGGTGAAGGAGGGCACTGCAGACACACAGAACAAAGAGAAAGACAAAGAATGCATTATTCATCAGAATTGTTATTATTCCTGAATTAATTATTCATCATAGCAGTACTGTGCAGTTATTGGGAAAAAAAGTTTTCAATAAGGCATCATATTTTAGAGTCTCTGATGTACCGTAACAGGTCTGTTACCAATTACACAGAACATTAAAACCTCATCATAAATACAGAGTTCATTTCGTTCTCCTTGTCATCTGATCCCTGTGGTTTTACAGTTGTGGGTTTGTGTGTTTGATTCACTCTATATATCTGTATAGAGGAGAAAATATTGATGTCTAGATTTTAGGGTATTCAGAGTGGTTGCTTATACTTGCCCAAGTAAAACGAGTTCTCTTTAATATGTCACTATATGTGTAATTGTTAATCTATAGAATTTCCCCTCAATTTATATGCATTTTTATCATCAGCCAGGTGAAAAGAGCAAGTTTGATTACAGGATCAATAGTAATACTGATACTTGCCACAAAAGCTCCACTAAATGTAATTTAAACTAGGGCTGTCAAACGATTAATCACATCCAAAATAAAAGTTTGTATTTACATAATGTATGTGGGTGCACTGTGTATAATTATTTTGTATATATATATATATATACTGTATATATATATATGAAGAGTTCAGATGCAAAAGCCTCAAATGCCATTGAAATTTCTTCTATAGATGATTTTTTATCAAACTTGTATATATTTAATTCATAATATCACTTAAATAACAATTAA